TTATTTACCCATATAATAAAACATAAACTATGATAGTAGCTTTACCTACTTGCAAAGCAGTTTATTATCATGAAATGTAGGACATGAGAATTTTAACCAGATAGTATGTTAGATTTGGCCTTCACAAAACTGTGATACCAAGATAAACTGATTGAATAAACATTCAGATAATATAGTTGGCACAGAAAGCATTTTTATTATATCTGAAGTCAGATCAAACTTAATTTCATGATTATAATAAGTGGCAATTCTTCACAGTCAAAAATCATGGCATTCTTCACAGTATTTTCAAATAATTGTGATTTACAGGAAAATAATTATATTGATTGTTGTAATGAGATGTTCTCATTCTGTATCTCACATTGCCTTGGAGATATAAATTTTACATATATCTTAGATATGTGAACAGGATTACCAGAAAGAAAATGATTTTTCTGAAACTCATAGTTTGCATTTCAATCCACAAAGAAATAAAAAGGATGAAGACTTTAATTCTGGCAGGCTACAGCTACCTTGAGGTAAAGAAACAAGATGAGGGAATGGTTGATAATCACTTACTCAATTAACGTATCATATTGCAATTATGTTCCTCCTCTGATGATATCAGAGATATCATTATGAAATATATATAAAATAAACATAGGAAAACATTTTAAAGCATTTAAATATGAAACTCACGAAAGTACATTCCACAACTTTTCTAAATTTCTTTTTGCCATCTACATATTTATTTAGCACCCACTGTTTGTAGGCTAATATCCTAGGCACCACGCATATAAAGACAGATTAGACAAAATATCTCCCCTTTAGGGTTTATAGTTCAGCTGGGAAGGCAATGATAAATTTCAGAAGAGATAGGTCACATGTAAGGTATCTCAGCAACTCTGACAGAATCATATACAGTGTGTGTTAAGATGCACATTCCTTGGCTCACTCTCCAGATATAGTAAATCAGCATCTCAAAATAATTTTCAGGAACTTGCATAACATCCCAAGGACTGTGACTCTCAGTAAAGTTTGAGAATCACTGGTAAAAGTTAAACCCATATGATACTGACATAGAGTAAGAAGTTGACAGGGTTCAATTTTCTCTTAAAGAATGAAATACAGTGATGCTTGCTTCAGCAGCACATACACTAAAATTGGAATGATACAGAGAAGATTAGCATGGCCCCTGTGCAAGGATGACATGCAAATTCACGCAGTGTTCCATATTTTTAGACTGGACAGGGAAAATGTGACACATATACACCATGGAATACTATGCAGCCGTAAAAAACAATGAGTTCATGTCCTTTGTAGGGACATGGATGAACCTGGAAACCATCATTCTCAGCAAACTGACACAAGAAAAGAAAATCAAACATCACATATTCTCACTCATAGGCGGATGTTGAAAAATGAGAACACATGGACGCAGGGAGGGGAGCATCACACACTGGAGTCTGTAGGGGGGAACTAGGGGAGGGACAGCAGAAAGTGGGGAGTTGGGGAGGGATAACATGGAGAGAAATACCAGATACAGGTGATGGGGAGGAAGGCAGCAAACCACACTGTCATGTGTGTACCTATGCAACAATCTTACATGTTCTTCACATGTACCCCAAAACCTAAAATGCAATTGTATATATATATGTATAAATGAAATACAGTGAAAAAAATAAAATTGTAATTATTCACAATTCACAATGATATTGCCTCAATAAAATACCAAAGGCACTTTACAAATTACTAAGAGTTTAGTAAAGACAAAGGATTTACAACCATTAGACAAAAATTAACATTCTTATATTTAGAATTAGAAAATGTAACTTAAAAATACATATATCAGGCTAGGCACAGTGACTCATACCTGTAATTCCAGCATTTTGGGGGGCTGAAGAAGGCGGTTCTCTTGAAACCAGGGGTTTGAAACCAGTCTGGGCAACATTCCAAGGTCCTGTCTCTACAAAAAGTTAAAAAATTAGCCCCCTGTAGTGGTGCATGCCTGTAGTCCTAGCTACTCTGATGCTGAGGCTGGAAGACTGCTTGAGCTCAGGAGTTAAAGGCTGCAGTGAGCTGTGATTGGGTCACTGCACTACAGCCAGGGCAACAGAGTGAGAGACCCTGTCTATATTAAAACAAAAAGCAAACAAACAAAAAACATTGATAATATTGGCAATAATTATAAGGTTCCTAACAATAAGCATAATAAAATATGTGAAAGACCAATAAAGAGAAAATGAAAACTTCATTAAAAGAGAAGATTTACACAAATGGAGATATATGTTCATGGATGGGTTACCACAATATCGGAAAGATGACAGATTATTCCTAAATAAACTTAAGACAAAATAAAAATCCTGCCATAGCTTTTCATTGGAAACAAGAAAACAAGAAAGACAGCTGCTTTTCAAATGTACACAAAATAGTAAAAGAAAAAGAAATTATAAAGCAGAACACATAGACAGTGGAATGGAATTAAGAGCTTAAATACAGAACCCATGTGTATGGGATTTTAGCAAATGAGGGAAGGAGGGATAACCTCTTCCCTAGTCTCACTCTTGGTGCTCTTAGCCATTCTCATGCCTTTCAGTGTCATGTGGAAAGTGACTACACCCAAATTTATATTACTAGCCCACACCTCTCCTTCTTGACCTCCAGACTGGTGTAATCAACGACCTACTTGACATTCATTCCCATTTACCTATCCCATGGATAGGTAACAGGCATCTCAAATTAAAGCAATGCCAAACAACTCCTGACCTGTCCTTATCTCTACTTTGTCCTTTCACAGTTTTTCTTTTTCATTCAGTAAATGGCAATTCTTTTCTTCCAGTTACCCAAGGCAAAACACTGTGGAATCATCCTTGACTTCCTTTTTTTCTCTCTCATAGCCCATACCAAATTCTCAAGAAATCTTGTTGATACTACCTTCAGAATGTATTTTTTAAATCTTACCATTTTTCACTACTATCAACTTGGTCAAAGCCACCTTTATGTCTCATCTGGATTTTCCAAGAGCCTCCTGATTATCTATTGTCTTACTTCTGCCCTTTCTCTCTTCCTCCCTACCCCATGCCCTATTCTCAAAAAAAGTTGTCAAAATACTCTTTTTAAAATGTCAAAGGATGTCACTTCTCTACTCAAACTGCTTCCTTAACTCTGTGACCTCATTTCTTACTGTCCTTATGTCCCCCCTTACTGAAATTCAGCTGACCTCTCCTTTTTGCTGGTCTATGAATGGAACATCCCAGACCATGCCTGCAGGGCTTTTAGCCTTGCCATTCCCATTGAGTGGAATGCTGTTACCGGATAGGCACACAGGTGTATCACTTTACCTGTTCAAAATCTCGGCTGAAATTCCGCTCCACTGTGGCCTTCCCTGACCACTTTAACATTTAACATAACTCCCCACCTCCAGAAGTCCCTATTCCCTTCCCTTCTTTATTTTTCTTCATAGCACTTATCAAACCCTGAACACTACATTTTTTACTTCTTTATTCGTTTATTGTCTGTCATCTCCAACTAGAATGAATGTACAGTCCCTGAGAATGGGGAATTTGTTTTGTTATCTACTGAAACATCAGAGCCTGGAACATGGCAGCACTCCAGTATTTGTTAAATAAATGAATCCATTTGAACTTTTGCATTTTGAAATTTCATAAGTATATATAAATGGTAAATAGTGACAGGCTCAAAGTCAAGTATCATTAAGCAATTGTCTCCCATTCCCAAAAGACTTCCGAAATCTATTAAATGATCTCTTTTTAACTTTTATAAAAGCAAAGTTATCTAAAAGGAAGGAGAAAAGTTTTTTTGACTTTGAGATTCTTTGCAATTTAAGCTTTTTTTTTTTTTTCTTTTTTGCTTTCCTTTCAATGGACACTTTCAAAGTTTTACATAAAACATGAAAACCTCCTGTTCAATGTAGTAGGATTAAGCTGTTGAAGGTAATCCCTACATGTGAAGAAAACATGCTTCCGGCCCCTGATTTTTTTCTCCCTACCCATCCCCTCTGGTTGTCCTGATGCTCCCCGCCCGCTTTTGTGTTTCTTGATTGCATGCTGAGAACTCACAACACAAAGCCCACATTTGTGAGGTGCTTGGGTCATGACTGCAACTAAAAACAGTTATTTATTTATTTATTTATTTATTTTTAGGTTTCTGGACCGCACAATGCCAGCCTTTGGTTTGCCTCAGAAGCAGGGACCTTCTCTGGGCTATTTTGCCTTCCAGCTCTTGACGCCATGACTCCAAATCCTACCAGCGATTAGGAGGATCATTACCAGACACAAGGCCAGGTGCGTTTAAAAAAATAAATAAATAAACCAAGCGCAGGTGCACAGCCGAACGCTCATCCACACCCCACCTTCCAATCCCACGGTAGATAACGAGAAATGAATTTGCTAGACTTTGTTCCTGCAGCACTTGCTGTTACCAGAAACAAAGTTAGATTATATACAATCTACTCGTCTTTGCTCTAAAAGTCCTCTCCCCATGGCCCCCACCCAGACTGCAGCAATTCTCTAGTTTCTTATTCGTTATAAGCAGGGGATGGAGCAGAGCCAAGTCGGCCTTCCTCTCCCAGGGCCTTCTCCTCTGGGTCTGGCCTCCATTTTGGATGTGAATTAACGCTCCCAATACCCTTTTAGGAGCAGGGAGTCCCCTTTTTCTCCGCCCCCGCCTCAGCCTCAGCCTCAGCCTCACCTAGGTTTTCCTAATTTCGGATTTTTCTACAACTCATTCTCAAATGTGACACGCATGACGACAATTTCCACTCTGCCATGTCAGCCTAGAGATGTCCCCCAAGTGATGGCATCTGCGCTCGGAAAGAAGGGTAAAAGGTGCCACGACCAGCCCCGCTAGCCCAGGGGGGCGCCAGTCCCGAGCGTCAGGGCGCGCGGCTGAGGCGAGGCGAGCGTGGCCCCCGCCCTCCCTCCCGGCCGCTGCCCCGCACGCCGCCCCGGCTCCTCCCTCCGGCCCTCGGCGGGCACCTGGCGGCGGCGGGCAGGGGGCGGCGCTGCGCGCGTCAGGCGGCTGGGTGGGAGAGCCGGCAGGTGACACCCGGCGGCCTCCTCCCCTTTCCAGCCCAGTCGGCGGCGGGGACAGCAGGGGCCGCTGTGAGGAGCTCCGCGCTCGCGCCGCCCGCCGCCGCCCTTGGCTCCGGCTCGCGCCAGGCGCTTCGGCTCCGCTCCCCGTGAGGTGAGTGCGGGGCTCCGGGCGGGCGGGCAGGGGCCAAACTTTCTCAGGGCGCGGAGAAGAGACGGGGGCGGGAGTCAGAGCCGAGGTAACGGCGTCGGGAGCGGCCAGGTGGAAGAACTTGGGCGCGGCGTGAGAATTGGGATCCGGGTGCAGGGGCCCCGGGAGCCGGGCCAGGCCCTCCGTGGGCTCGGGAGGCTCGTGGGAAGTTGTGTCCCCTCCGCCTGCGCGTGGGGAGGGCCGAGGCCATTTTCCGGAGGAGCGCGGGGCCGCGGTGCTCACCTGCGCCTTCTCCGGGAGCCCCCTCCCGCCAGCACTCGAAGGTAAGATCGGGCGGGCGGGCGCGCAGCGGAGCGGAACCTGGACTGGGGTCCCGCGCGGCGCCGGCCCTGCGAAGCGGAGCAGGAGAGGCAGAGGTGCTCGCCGCGGGACTAGGAGGGAGAAGGACCTGCTCGACCTTGGACGCGGAGGTCATTTTCCCAGCTCTGGGGTCTGGCCTCGGTACCACCCCCCAAATTCTCGAACCCCTTTCTTTCTGTTTCCTTCCTTTCCTTTTGAGCGCTTTTTTGGCTCCCGCGGCCGGATGAACTCGGGGCGCTGCCCTGGGAGCGGGGCGCTGTCCCTCCGGCTCCGGAGCCGCATCCTGTCCCGCTGGCTGCTGCTGGCCGGGAGGAGACTGATGAGTAGAGAGCCGCGGAACAGGTCGTGCCGGAGATGGAAACAGGAAAGCCTGTTGTTCTGTCGTCCAGGGTATCGTTCGTTTGGAAATGGGCTGTCTCAAGTCAGCGCTGTTTCAAACTTCACCCCGCGCGGACCTAGCGCTCTTTGGAGCTCCCTGGGGAACTCGGGACGGGAAGGAGCGGGTCTTTACACGTGTCCTGCTCCGTGTGTTGGGAACAGCACGAATGAGTCCCGCTCTGACTAAAGAATAGTTTTAGCGACCCGAGTTCCTCGCCTCTTGCTTCGGTCTCCCCTCGGAAAGCATGTTCACTTAACCCTGTGCTCTCGGATTACCCATTATTTCACTCCTCCCTTTTATTGCTTACCTGCTCCCAAAGAGTCGCGGATACCTCCGCCTTCTTACCACGCACCTGCTTATTCATTCCCTTTCTTTGTAGTTTCCGTTCATACTACTGATCAGAAATTGGTCTCCCCAAGGTCACCGAGAACTAAATAAAATCCATCCCTCACCCTGTGGCAGATATTTATCAGTGCTTAGGTTCCAGGCACTGATCTCAGTTCTTGTATTAAAGCTTTTAATCTTCACAACTATCATGTGAGGTAGATATTAATATTCTCATTTTAATGATGAGGAAACTGAGGCACGGAGAGGTTAAGTAACAAGCCAAAGGCCACACCCATCTCAGCAGTAGGAGAGTCCAACTCTGGGGCTCTGTCTTCAGCACTGGAACTAGAGCTCCTTTGCTCGTCCTTAATTTCTGAAGTTCCGTGCTGTTTCAGGCATCGTTCACCAGGCTGTCAACCTCAGATCCCTCTTTTCCTTCGTATGTGTCCTTATACTAGTTTAGGCCTCCACACCCTTCAACCCCCCTCCTACTTTTTTGTTGTTATTTAAGAAAAATAGATCTACAGAACTTCAATACTTCATCTTTCACCTGTACTTATCTGGCTTAACTCTCATCTGTACTTATCTGGCTTAAGATTCTGTGCTTTCCACATCTTCTTCAGTTTTAGTGTAATACCTCTCAGTGCGCATGGTAATATTTCTCTTGGACTTGCCTGGCTTTTCCCCAAAACAACTCTAGATGCTCATTTCCATTAAGGGTCCTGCCATTATCCTGGTCTCCAAGGTACCCTGTCTCATGCCATTCCTCTCTAGTTGTGAAATATCTTCTATCCAATTTTTACGTGGTCTCTTATAGCCTTTATCAGTCTCACCCATTCCCATCCTCTCTTCACCACTCTCCCTCTTCTCCACCCTGAACACATCATATGCCCTTTTCTACTGTTCATTATCATTTTTTATGTTTGCTTTCCACAAAAAGATTGCAGACAGCTTAGGACATTAAATCTTTAGGCCTTATGGCTAGTAGTTGTTTGATAAATGTAGAACATGATACAGTATAAATTTTGGTAGCATGGATCAGGCAGGTTTGATGATGGTGGAAATTTTTAAGCCAGGTGTTACAGGATGTTAAGGAGTTTGCATTGGTAGATGTGGAGGAACTGTAGACATTGTAAATGAAGGAGAGAAAAGCCTGTGTTCACTCCATTGTCACAAACAGGTACTAGCTGTCCTGATGAAACATTAATTTTAGAGGTATAATGAAGCAGGGCAAATCAGCAGAGAACTTTTTATCCTTATCTTGACAAAACAAAATGTGAAAACACAGGAAGTTAAAGAAAACCCCCTTTTTATTGAAAAATATAGCACATACATAAAAGTACATAAAACATAAATGGACAGATTAACATAATAGATATATTCAGCAGTAGGATGACTATGTTATTCTGGCCGTAGATAGATAGTCAGATGAGGCTGCAGTCAGGCCAGACAGGAATATGTTCACAAAACCTGTGTAAGGTGAAGTGGACCTGGACTGCACCTGAGGGACATTGCCAAGAAAGAATTGGCTGTGTGTGGGGAAGCTTGAGGGGAGGAGAAAATAAGACTGGAAATTGGTACCAAAGGATAAGATCAGGGAGCCAAGAAGAGAGTTCTGACCCACTGAGCATAATTCTACCACAATGAATATTTAGCCATGTTGCCCTTGTCTTCTCTCTTTATTTCTATGCATATTTTTCTACATCGTACTCTATGTAGAATTTTAGTATTCTCAGGCTGGGCACAGTGGCTCACACCTGTAATCCTAGCACTTTCGGAGGCTGAGACAAGCAGATCACCTGAGATCGGGAGTTTGAAACCAGCCTGGCCAAAATGGTGAAACCCCATCTCTACTAAAAATACAAAAGTTAGCTGAGTATGGTGGCACATGCCTGTAGTCCCAGCTACTTGGGAGGCTGAGGCAGGAGAATCCCTTGAACCTGGGAGGTGGAGGTTGCAGTGAGCTGAGATCTCGCCACTGCACTCCAGCCTGGGTGACAAAGCAAGACTCTGTCTCAAAAAAAAAAAACGGAAAATAATTTTTTTTTTTTTAGTATTCTGTGTTTCCCATATAACAGCTGGTAAGCATTTTTCATCTTATGTAATTTTTAGAACTCATATTATTTGTATTCTAGTAAGTATAATGTAATTTACTAATACTGTATTGTTTGACAAGTATGTTAGCAATAAATTATAAACAAGCTAAGTTGTAGTAATACTCATCTTTGCAGCTGTATCATTTTACAAATTGGGACTTGTTTTCTTATGATACTATTCCAGAAGCAGAATTACTTTGTCAGCAAGTATGGTCATTTTTATGGTTCTTAATATACATGGTCAGATTTCTAAAAGCAATTTAAAAAGTAGGATCAATGCATTTTGCCTAAGTTTTCTCTCTATGAAGTAACAGCAATTCAATTCAACATGAACATTATTAAATGTTGTATCAGTTTCCTCAGGCTGCTGTAACAAAGTACCACAAACTGGGTAGCTTGTAAAAACAGCAATTTATTGCCTAACAGTTCTGGAGGCTGTAAGTCTAAAATTAGGTTGTCAGCAGTGCTGATTCCTTCTGAAAGCTCTGGGGGAGAATTTCTTCCATGCTTCTGCTAGGTTCTGGTGACAGCAGCACTCCCTGGCATTCCTTGTGCTGGTGTCACTCTAATCTCTGCCTCGGTCTTCATATGCATTCTCTCTATGTGTCTGTGTCTTCACATAACCATTTTATAAGGCATAATGGATTTAGGCCCACCCCACTCCAGTATGACCTCATTTTAACATCTGCAAAAATTAAATTTCCAAATAATAGCACACTGTGAGGTACTGGGGGTTAGGATTTCAACATATCCTCTTTGGGGCACACAATTCTTCCTGCCAAAGGGTCTTGAACTGTGCATAAGAGAAAGCCTCTATCTTCAAATAATTTCTAGGCAAATTGAGAAAGTAGGATTTTTTTCTAATTATTGAGATTTGTTTATTCTCCATGATGTAGCACTCGTGCTTATCAGTTCTAAGATACAAAGGATGCTTTTTTTTCCCCTGAGACAGGGTCTCTGTCTGTCACCCAGGCAGGAGTGCAGTGACACAGTCGGCTCACTGCAGCCTCAATCCCCAGACTCAGGCAGTCCTCCACTTCAGCCTCCACAGTAGCCGGGACTATAGACACATGCCACCGGGCCCGGCTAATTTTTTGTATTTTTTGTACAGATAGAGCCTTACTGTGTTGCCTACATTGGTCTTGAACTCATGGGCTGAAATGATTGTCCTGCCTCAGCCTCCCAAAGTGCTAGGATTTCAGACTCGAGCCACTGCACACAGATTGGAAGGATGCTGTTTACCAAACCCATAATTCTGGAGCCATTGTGAATGTGGCAGCATGTTAAATTGAGAATAGCCAGGATTTCAGTAAGATACATCACATAGTATGGAAAGAAGCATGCCATAAATGCACTTTTAAAAATATGTCTTACATGTGTTTCAGTGACTCATCCAATTTTGACCATACACAGTTACAAAAAGTTGAAAACTAATACCAATCAAGCATTTTATAACATTGGTCTTCTAAAAAATTTGAAATTTCCATTATTTCTAATTGATTTCTAAAAGTACATGTTATTACATTGGCAAGTGAAATCACTCTTTTCGTAAATGATAGAAGTTGGCATACCATTGTAATTTTTTTTTTTTTTTTTT